CGCCTCTCGATGGTCGTATGATGGTCAACCTGATACTGACGTTAACCGTCTTGGAAGCGATTTATCGCGTCTCTGGTTATCGCATAGGGCGAGAAGAGTATGGAAAGAAATCGAAGATCGCTGGATACGATGGCACGTTAACGTGGGGTGTGTCCAAGGGAGAAATACGCGACCGAAGTCCCCTCGATATCGTCCCGTCGCGTTCCTTGCGTGAAACCGAACCAAGGCCCACGTTTGGGGGCCGCGGTTGTACCCCTTCCTCCACGGTTCCGGCCAACGACGAAATTACATTTTTCCACGTATTTTCGAGCACCGCTGACAAACAAGATCCAAATTACCGATTACGCTCCTCGACTGTGTTTCCTTCCTACTATCTCTGTGCTATTTCACGGAAACTATTACGAAGTATCGCCGTAAATTATTCGGCACCGTTCTATCTGTGCAGACGCCGGTCGATTAGAAGCGTCGAAACAGGCGGACGCTGAAAATTGCCGAAGGTTGGAAAACACGGTAAAGAAGGCGGATAAAGTCGGATGAAAAAGGAAGCGATGTTCCTTTGCCAAAATAAACGAGTGGGTAGAGAAGCTTGGGAATTACCAACCCCTCCATTAGCGAATCCATCTCGGGCGTATAAACTTGGTTACACGTTCCAAGTTTCGTGCACCGCCCCCGAAGAACCGCCCTATTTCAGCCAGGAGCGTATTAACCTCGCGTCTCGAGTGGACGGGAGATAAGTTTTTCCCAGGGAGGAACGATCGGGCGTAATCGAAGCGTTTAAAGTTCGATTCCATGGATTTCGTATAAATTCGCCAACTTAGAGGACAGCCGTGCGATCGGGAACATTGATAGAATCTCGGTGGTGGGATCGCGACCGGGGGCGACGGGGTCGACGCGCGCACACCGTGTCACTCTGCTGCCCTCTGCCGGAATGGACCGCCCGTCAGCCATAACTCCTTCACCCCCCAATCGCTCGCGACCTGTCGTTAATTAGCGGGAATTCGTAAGCAGATGTCTCGTCTCGTCGGTCTTGTATCGCGACTCATCGATACCGCGATTCGATCGGTAGGGGTACCGAGTTTAAACGCTGAATTTATTATATTATACAGCTATATTATATAGCTCGTCGCGGAGAACACACGAGGAGAGGATTGTCTCGAGGTAGAAAGAGATATTAACGCTTTGTCTTACCTTCCAAGTTTCAATGGCGTGCGCTGCAGTCTCAACAGCAACGTCGGACACGTTGAGGCACGTTGAGAAACTTCGAGAAACGTCGAAACACGTCGAGACACCTCGAACCACTTGTCCGAACGCGGCGAGGAATAACACGCAACTGAAACCGGAAAATACTGGTGGATATTAACGACGGTCACGCGTCGAGCCATTTCGTCGAAACACGGCGAAGAATAATACGTAGCTGGTAAGTTTCGACTCGGCTCGACACGAAAACATTGGCGAAAATTAAACAAGAGCCCGACTTGTGATGTTTACGTTGAGCATATCTCCGCTCACGGCACGTTGAACCTATCTACTGAGCGAGTCTTATACGATATTGTAGACGAAAGTATTAATCTGATTTCGAGAAAAAATGTACCTGGATTAGGCCAAATACGTGGAAGGAAGTTTGGAATAGTAGGTGACGTGATCCTCGAGGGATCGAGGGGCAAGTTGCACGCGATATTCTTCCAAAAACTGCTTTTCCTCGGTATATCGTTGAACAGCTGGATTGTTATGAATTCGTTGATTTATGATTAATCAATTATCAATTATAGATGTAAGCCGGCTTATCGCGCTATTAACAAACATCGAGAACGCGCGAATGAATGGCCATAAAGCGAGTGAAATGGTCGTTGTAAAGTCGATTAGCCGGAGAGTGGGGGTATCTATTGTGCGAGGCAGACGCATATTACACGCTTCTTTCGTCACTTTTTTTTTATTAATCGCATCGTGTGAGGTTATCGGCGATCTTCGATCGGGGGTTATCGCCGGGGCGCCGTTTGAAAATAACTAACGTCGGGCAATTTTCTTTACAGCGTTGTCTCGCCTCGTTCCTCCTTTGGCGCGCATTTCGCGTGTTCGAACGAAAGCGAAGGGAGGCCGGAGAAATTGAAAGATATCCGGTGGAAGGGAGGAAGGAGGTATATAAATTAAGCATTCCCGGGAGCAAACGAGCTTCACGCCCAGCTGTTAACCCCGTCCGACCAAATCCTGGCCAGACAGCTCCCTCTGGAAGAACAGAGAGAGAAAGGGAGGGAAAGCGCTGGTTATCTATAAATTCTGCATGGACATTAACTTGATCCAACGAAATTGTTGATAATGCTCGCGCCAGCGCTTGGCCGATGGGCCCGTGGATATTTATGGTGGTCCAAGTGTGGGGACAATCGGTGGTCGAGAGAGAGAAAGAGAGAGAGAGAGGAGCAACGAATTCTCCGAGAACCCCGTGTGGCACCCGTGGAACACGTAGACGAGGAAGGAAGGAAGGTAGGGAGGATGCAACGAAGGGTTTTCTGGCTGCTTGACTCGCCCCTGGCATGATATGCCGCCAGCAGGATGGAATGGTTTTCCCTCCGGTTGCCAAGGTAACCTATGGCCCACCCTTCGAGCTTCGGCAACCATCCTGTCGCTGCTGTGGCTGCACCAGCCGCGCGCGGCTTCTCGCTACGCGAGCTAAACTCGCGCACACACAGCCCTGACGAAAAACCACGTTGGCTCCGTTGTTGTTGCCCCGCACACCGATCCCACCATCGTTCCTGCACCGCACGCACCACCGATACACCGACTCGGAACACGGACGGCAATTTGCCAACGTGTGTGGTAGTCCTGTGCCCTCGTGCACGCGCGCACATGCACATCCAGTGAATCCCGAACCGCACTGCTGCGAACGGCCATGCTGAATTCAATATCAGCATTCCCTGCATTCCCTCGCGGGTCTTCTTCCCTTTTTCTTCCCTTTCTTCTTCCCTCGCTTTGAACGATGACGACAAGATGGGTCATGCCGCGTGTCACTGGCTGCTTTCTTGCCGAGAGTGTGTCGGATATCCGCGGAACGCTACCCCGCGGGCTGAGCAAATGGGGATATACGGTGGTTAGAGAGAACTCGAGGGATTTCTGCCAGTTGGCGCAAATTTCACGGAAAGTCGTTTGTCTTTATCTCCATGAAAGCAAGAAACTGTGGAAGAAACTGCCTCGCGGCTGTGAGGATTTTCTTCGTACGAGAGGCGAATAGGGTGCGCGAAGAAGGGAGGAACGGTGTTCACGGTTTTATCGGTAATTAGGGATATCCGTTTCTGCTAATCGATTAGGGGAATAACGTAACGTGGACGAGACTCGGCGAGTCCACGCATCGAATACAAAATCTCGCTATCTTTTATTGGTCGGTAGCGCGTATTTGCTTCATCACGAGGCAATCATATGGCCACTCAGCGTCTTCCCGAGAATGATGGTATTATGGCTGACTGCTCATTGCGCCCGGGGAACCGGTTTCTCAGCGACGAACTGAAAACGCCAGCCCACCCTTTTGCGCCGCCGGCCCAATGTAAAATTACGTTCGAGCCAATTGCGAAAATTGCCCGTGAGAAGTTTATCGGGCGTCCGCGGCGCAACTTGCCGCCATCTTATGCTGCGCTCCGCGATACCAACCGCGAGTATCCCCGCACCGTGTACTTTCCCAACTTTCCGTGCATTTTTCGCGAGATTTCTCGGTATTTACTCGGCGAGAGAAAGCGTAGGATCTTTAATAAAGATCGATGGAACTTGGACTGTAATTGCTTGCACGGAAATAATGTTCGAGAAACTGCTTCGCGTGACGCCGAAAGTCTTTTCGCTTCTAAAAAGACTGGAAAAGCAGTGTCCCCAGGTACTAGCCAGATGACGAGCGACCAGCCTTTACCTGGTTAGCGTGGCCACGCGGTTCGATAGCTACCTAAACACCATAAAAAATTCAGCGCACCCTGCGTACCCCGTTTTACGACTTTGACTCTCGGGCCCCGGAGAAAGTTGGGCAAAAGGCGTTTGAAGAAAGGGTTCGATCTTTCTTTCGCCCTGTGGACAATGGGCGCGAGACTTTTACCCGAAACTTTCTATTTTTTTTTTTTACTTTTTCCCTTTTTCTGCCCCGTTCAACCCCTGCAATAAAGCGACCATCCGAAAGTACGCTTTTTTCCCAGCCCCGGAAGGAGAAAGCGAGGAGAGAGTTGAGATTTGTGACCGGACAGGCGAAACGCGCCAGGTCACTCGACGGGAAAAATTGAACTTTACGTAACGAAAAGCGTCGTTCGTAATCGGGGTAGCCTCTCTTCTCCGGTGGAACAGCCACGAAACACGAAGACACGTGCGAATTTGCACGGGACGAAAGAAAGGCGAGATAGGTGGCGGTTTTATTGCGCGCAGCTTAGCTCGGTCTGACGAGCGCGGTTTGGTTCTTGCGCGATAAAACTGATAAGGCTGATGTGCCAATTAATGCTTAACGACCGGCTAATGATCATTGCTCCATGATTATGCAATCGTGCATAATAATTAAGTCGGACGATAGATGACGGTGATGGGGTAGAGAGTTAACCGAGGCTCTCGCGAACGAAACTCGTCTTCAAGATCGGAAACTCTGCATCAGCGAAGGGAACTTTTATTTTCAAACGTACAGCTATTGAATATCATTTAGTCAGCCAACCCTTTGCACTTCTTGCGCTGCTTACACGTTATACTAAGCCAACAGTCAACTTCCCCCGTTCGAATCCTACCGATCGAGATTAGCCAAAAATCGATACGGTGGAACGGTTTCCTCGGTAACCTTCGACGAAATAAAATCTCGCGTGTGGACGTCCAGCTGCGGAGAGACGGAGAGAGAGAGAGACACGGGGTGAGAAGAGTCTCTTGGACTGGATCCCGAATGGTAAGCATCGCTACGCGTCGCGTCGAGTTGACTGTGGTAGTGCAAAGGGTTAAAAGGCAAATCTTCCTACATGAAAAAACTAACCTAGGCAAATCTGCGTTTCTGACGTTTCCAGGCCCGAACGGCTGTCCGAGGCGCAGGGGTCGACAGACGTACACACGGTTCCAGACCCTGGAGCTGGAGAAGGAGTTCCACTTCAACCATTACCTGACGCGACGGCGGCGAATAGAAATCGCGCACGCCCTCTGCCTGACGGAACGACAGATCAAGATCTGGTTCCAGAACCGGCGGATGAAGCTGAAGAAGGAGCTGAGGGCGGTGAAAGAGATCAACGAGCAGGCCAGGCGGGAGCGGGAGGAGCAGGACATGATGAAGAAGCAGCAGGCGGAGAAGCAGGCTAAGATGCAGCAGGAGCAGCAGAACGCCGCTCTGCAGCATCAGCAACAGCATCACGTAAGCGGTCTCGACAAGACGCAGAGCGATCTTCTGAAGGCGGTCAGTAAGGTGCCCACATAGGAGACTTTGCTAAGCCGGTTGTCTTTCTTTTAAAGAAGAAACAAGAGACTGGACGCAGCCTAGACGCAGACATCGAAGCGAAGTAGCTGGAAGAGGTCGGCCAATGCGCGTAGAGGACCTTGAAAACGAATTAACGCAGGCAAACACGCGGCCGCCGCGCGCCTCTTCTTCCTCTTCTCGCGTGAACCGGCGAAGACGTAAACGGAAGAGGCGTCCTCTCCTCCGCGCGGTGTCTTCTCCTCCTGCTCTCTTGAACGGGACAAAAGGTGTTCTCGCGTAGGAGGACCTCGTCGAGTGATCTCTGTTCTCTTGTTTTCGTATCGGGTTTAAAGAAAGCGGCGAAGGAAAAGGGGGCCGGAGGGAAACTGGCGGCAAGACGAGAGACGGCGGTTCTTAGCCGAGGATACGATACGACTTCGGAGCAGCGACAACGGTGCGCCGTGTGCCATTGTCCCTCTCCGACGGGGCCCCGGTGTCGATAAGAGGCAGAAGCGTGTAAGGGAACGTGTAGGGTGGAGGAAACGAGGGAACCGAGAGAAAATGCGCGCGACGATGTTTGGAGTCGTCTGTCTCTTTTGTTTTTTACGGAAGAAGAAAGGAACGTAGGAGAAAAGCGCGGTGTATATCCCCGCAGAGGAAAAATAATCGGTAGAGGTTAGAGTATGAGAGAGCGAGAGAGAGAGAGAGAGACAGAGGAGCGTAGTAGAAACGCGAAGCGTGTAGAAGAAACGAGAAAAAGCACACCCTCGAAAGAAAAAGAAGGAAAAAAAAAAAGAAAAAACTAAAAAAAAATACACTACGTACTTATTTGGCTGGGCCAAAAGGAAGGACCTAGCCTGTGACTGATTCCTAGAGCGTATAATGTAATAATTGTTAATCGGGCGCGCTGCGCGACGAGTCATCGCGATTGCCGGGCGATGAACAGCGGGGATGATCAGTTGGCGCGATAACTGCCAGACACAGACACACACACACACGAGGAGCCAACGATCGCGCGTCGGCAACCGCAGACGAACTAGAATTAGTTTGAACGAGGAGAAGCCGAAGGATTAACGCCGCCCTGCCGTATAGCAAGAGAGACCTCGTGTACGGCAGCGCCGACGAGACGATCAATTAATACCGACGGAGAAGAACCGTGCAGTGGTAGGGAGTAATTAAACGAGGCTGTCGAAGAATTCGTCTAATTGCGCCGAACGATCGAAACGGATGAAAATGGAGGACACGGAACTCGTTGCTCCCTCCGCCAATGCCGCGCCAGGGGAACATGCGCGATCCGCGGGCCCCTCGTCTTTCAAATTTCACCGCTCCGATCGATTATCCCACTTTCCTTCCATCGCCGTACTTTTCCCAACGCGAAACCAAACGCGTCCCTTTCCGTACTGCTGCCAGCTCTCGTTCGCACATCCGGATCGAAGTTTCGTCGGACAAAGAGAGAGCGTCTTTCTTATCGTCGATGCAACGACGCGACGAATGCGCGGAAAGATAGAGAGATACGATTAGGCGCGCCGGGGTTAGGATCTCACGGTAACGTGGAACGGAGATCGGCGAACTTGCAGATCCAATAGTCGGTCGGGGATGAACCGATAACGCGGAGCGATCCGCGTTACGATTAGTCTCGCGCGAGCGAGTTGGCAGCGGAAAGGATCGCAAGCGGAGCGGGTACACGAACTCTCGACGCTCTCGTTGGTACACAACGAACGTGTATATCTGCCGCGCGATTGCGGATACCTCGGATACCTTCTTCGCGTGTACCCGGGTTTTCACCGATTACAAGGAAACCAGTGGCGCATGCATATTAAAGCGTATGCACACGAGCAATTTCGTGCGGCTGTTGGCCGACTTCTTTCCTCTCCCGAGGAATTTAGTGGTACAAATCGATGCCATTTGCCCGGCTCCTTTTCCAGAGTTAATTAACCGTGGTTTACGCTCGCGATTGCCTCTTCGAGACTCCGCGTCGTAATTAGGCGAATTAACGTCGCTGCCGATAATATTTCTGCCGTTTCTGATGTCCGCGCCGACTCTACGCGAGATCTCTGACGCAAACGCATCCTTCGACCGTTCTAACCGAGCCCCGTCGCGGATCACTGTGTTTTCTCTGTTTCTCTTTCCTCTCCGCTCTTTTCCCTCCTTTTCTCCTTCTTTTCCCTTTACTCCTTCCCTGTCTCCCCGCTCTCAAATTCCGCTCGCAAATTTCTCCGACCCGGATCGCCCATGTTCCCCTCGCGAGACGTTCGAGAATCGGCGTGGATCGCGTCGTTGCTCCTATTGGTATCGCTTCAAAGGATATATAAATTCTCTGTTTTCTGCAACTGCGAATGACTGTCGGTCCCTCCGAATTAACACGCCAGGGTTGTATTAATTCGGAGGAACGTCGAGGCGCGGAAATTTATTTTTTTACGAAGAAATTCGACAGACCACGACGAGCGACGAGGCCCCGGCGTCGAGTCGACGGACGTTGCACGAGGACGTTGTTACAGGGAACGTACGAAGCCGTGTGCGGGGGTGGAAGGCTTCCGGCCGAACGGGAAGCGAGACGACGACGCTCACTACTGTATTCTTCTCTACGTATTTTTTCGATCTGTCAACAGGTACGACACGCGAAACTATCGAACGAACGCTGAAACGTTCGAGGACGCCGTTCATTCCTATAAACGCCGACCAGTTGCGAGTGTTTCGAATCGAAAATTGAAATCCGGGAACGTTTCGGGGGTAGCCGGGAGGGGGCTGACTCGTCGATGAGCCATCCGCATTCATTTATCGCTTTAGTTAGATCTCAGAGGATATCGCGCAAGGTATCGCTAAGGCTTTTACTAATACAAGATAACTTGTATGAAAGCAGCACGTTTTCCATATTATCTAAGATAATTTATCGTAACGCTACCGCACGAGGATGTTTAGTCCTTTAGCTGCGTCGCGGGCACGACGATCCATGATCGCGGGCCCCCGCGACTAAGTTCGGAACGCGACGTTCTTTTAAGAGAAATCTATTTTTCAATTACGTTTGTTTTTTCCCCCCTCTTCTTTCCTCTGTTCATGTTTCTCCCTCTGAATAACGTTATTCGCTCGCGTCGCGGGTAACAATGTTAATTTTCGTCTGTTAATTTTACGTAGTGTTATCGTAGTTATATCGACGCCATGTTGGCTCGAGCATCGAGATCGTTGAAAATGAGACGGTATGATCGTTTCTGTTTACTCCCCGTTTTTCTTATTTTTTTTTTTTTTTTTTTTTTTTTTTTTTTTTTATTTTTCGTATCTGCGTCGATTCGTTTATGCATTTTCACATTTTACGATTTGTTGTTTCCGTGTTCGAGTATCCCTTCCTTTGCCGCAGCTTTCGCCGACAGCATCACGGGACAGCAACGTGCACCCCTCTCCGCGTTCGAACGCTTTTGGCGGGAAAAGGGGCGTGAAAAAGTAGTGGGAAACGCGATGGGAAACGGAAGTACAGACGAGAGAACGACGAACCTGTGAACATACGCAGAGACTTCAGACAAAGACACATCACCGGACGAGTATCTCACTCTTAGTACATTAAATACGTAATTTGGTGTCAGGGTAGACCTTTTTCCATAGATATAGAAGCCGTTGTTGCTATTTACTTACGTAGAATTCGTAACGACGAAGAGGACTTAGCAAGGGAAACTGAGAGAGAGAGAGAGAGAAATGCAGATCTTCAGATTATATAAATTATTACCTAATTATTTTTTTCTCCTCCCCGTTAAAGCGACACGTACGACATGTCCCTCTGGCCTTCCGACGATTCCTCGATTCGGATGACGGTCGGCTCTGGAGATTATCTCGGAACAGTGTGTTATCTACACGTGGACGTCGTTTTTGGTCTTCCGTTAGTTAATGTTCACGGAGAACTGATCGATTCTCGAGACTCTTTACGCTTCGAAAATTATTCGAACGCGACTCCATGTTCCTGTTGAGTTCTTATTTCTTTTTATCCTACGTTGCTCGCGGTTTTCCACGCGAATCGTTAAGTTTTAACTGGGGGATTCCCGTATCGTTCGTTACAACGGGTCCTGTTCGAGGAAGATGAGGGATGTACGCGACGAATCGTTGAAGCATTGCAAAAAACGCATATACGTAACTCGAACCAAGAGAAACCACACAGGATTTGCTTTCCGGGAAGGCAGGGAACCTGTCGTGCGAGTCGCCCAATGACTATCTATTTACGATGTAAAATCATAGTGTACACAATACCGTATTATATATTATTAAAGGTAACGAGTATGTTATATATATATATATAAATATATATGTATATGAACAAATGGGGAAGAAAATCTGTTGCACCGTGCTCTAAGGACAAACAAACGAACAGAAAGAAAAATTTTGATAGTAGTATCGTAACGAGAGAGAAGAAGAAAAAAGAAAGAAATTTAGGATACGTATGACGTACGTAACGTAAAAGCACACATACAAAGCATACGATTGATAGAAAAAGAAGAAACGAAAAAAAAATCTACGAAAAAAAAAACAAGAAAATAAGAAACAAGAAAAATAAGACTTGGTCGAATCGACGGGAGGAAAGGAAAAATTTTTAGACCGGCTAGAGCAGCTACTATTAAATAGTGAGAAAAGAAAAATAAATAGACGTCCGTAATGAAGGCGAAATCGCATCGTTTTTAGGGAAAATCTTAAGGAAAAGTAATATTTGCGCGTGAGAGAGAGAGAAAAAGGGAGAGAGAGTGAGAGTGAATGAATAAACCGTATTCATATTAATACTGTACCGCTAATTACCTAAAGTACTATTATACATAAATATCGCCGTACGTAAAGTAACGATTAAGCTGAGCATGCGAGTTTACGCACGAGATGTACTCATGTAAACTGTCCCCCCTCCCCATCCAACCTTTTTGCTCCCTCAACCCCTTCGCCACCTTCCCCATTCTCCACATAGCGAATGTACCTCTGCATACCGTAATTGTAACGATGTTTCAACGTGTAACGAGCAAGATAGACGAAAGCGAGAAAAATATTACGTTTACGCG